CACACACACACACACACACACACACACACACACACACACACACACACTTATTTATAATTTCCTAGCATTGTCCTGAGTAATTTACAGGTACGAATATCAGGCTTGTAATGTCTATTAACATCTGTAAATATCTATAAATATACTGTCCTGTATTCATTGCATCAAATGACAGTAGAGAAATGTGGGGGAGCCCACGGATCAACAAGAGTGTCAAACCTTTCTCCGCTGATGTCGGCTACATCAAAAGGAGACAGGTTGAGAGAGCTCATGTCCAGCTTATTCCTGAACAAGGCCCACATCATGGGGGTCATCCAGGTAAAAGTTGCAAAGGACAGGAAACCTGCATTGTCCAGAGGGTGAGACCTAGACATGGAAACATCACCCAATATGCAATGGGGACCAGTACAGTCTGCTAACATGTCACCTTACATTTATTTATCAAATGAAATATAGCAGTATCAAAACAAGACAAATGATGTCATCAATGGCACTGACTGAGATGAGGACCAGCGGAAGGGTTTGAGGGTCTGAAGGCTCTGGCTGTATTTTCCAAACAGGGTAGGGTAGGATTTTTCTCTGTTTAAATCAGTATGTTCTGAACTGGAGGCCACAGATCCAGTTCTCTGTTGGAAAATATCTTCCTGCTGAAGAGTCATAAACACAAAGAGACAGAGTGAAAGAATCAGACAGAAAGAGTGTAAGAGACAGATGGTGAGGAGAAGGAGAGACAGAGACAGAGCCTTTTGTCAATATTCCAACTAAAGTATTCTCAAAAAGTGGATTAAGCAAATTCGCATCAAAAAAACAGAATGCAGGAGAAACAATAGAAGAGGAAATTATCTCAGGCAGTGAATGCCACATGTAAAGAGGCCAGGAGCGTACCGTTTGTTCCAATTCTATAAAAGAGACTCCTCGACTGTCGTTCCTTTCCATTGAAAAGTCTTCCATCATTTTGTCCTCTACCGAGGGAAAGAAACATGCAGCGTCACTGTTGTACTTGCCAACAAGACATTTTAAGTACAAAAATTGCTTGAAGCCTACTAACCAAATACTTTTAACAGCATCAATATGGAGGGCATAACCATTTCTCATTCTGCTGTGCAACAGTCTAACGCAGTGGTGGGCCGTCAGGGCCAGCAAAGCCTTACCTGCCGGCCTAGATAGAATCACAAAGTTATAGCTATTCTACAATTTTATTATTTTTCATCAATACACTACATGTATTCTAAATATTTGTTCCCATTAGTTTATTATCTCACTGCAGCGCTGCAGTGCTGGAAGCAGCGCTGCTTCCAGCACAGCTTGTATGAAGTAGAGCTTTTATCCAATCAGATTTCGACCCTATGCTCTCTAGGTAAACAAAATCTGCTCAGAGGCCTTCAAACTTACAAGTGGATCCCTTTGCAGTTTAAGTAAATGGTGACGATATTGTTGATTGTCATAGTCTTCAACCAATCAGATTTTTAGTTTGACATGTTGGGCGTATTCTTTGACATATAAGAGCCTTCTAGCTGGCCTAGCAGAGTACATCAGCATTAACGTGTGGCTTAATTGGTCAGTGGGCTAGCCTGACATGTTGGGCGGTGACAATCCCAATATCTACTGCCTCTGTCGAGCGGACATTTTCAGCCCTCAAACGCATTAAAACATATTCAAGAAATACAACTGGGGAGGCTCAACTGTCATCTCTGGCGTCCATGAATCGAGAAGGATCTCTTGCTGGAAGTGAACCGCACCGATGTTCTGTACAACCGTATCATTGAACTCTTTAAGAGAGGATGGACTTTACTCATTTCTAGCTAGATGCTTCATGTATTATAACTGATGACAAGTCACAAGGCATTACAACTGTGACCAAAATACTTTACTTGGTCAAATGTCAAAAATGTACCCGCATTGCAAGAAAGGTTATAAAGTCCAATTAAAAGCAAGAAGCAAGATTGTAATGATTTCGATAAGGCTCAGGCAGAGGCATGCAGAATGTCAAACTGCATTATCATCCTCGACCCCACCCTCTCTTTCCTACCCCACGCCAACCACATCACCAAGACTGCCTTCTTTCACCTGAGGAACATTGCACGCCTCCAACCTTCCCTGTCCTCTGCCACCACCGAAATTCTCATCCATGCCCTCATAACCTCCAGACTCGACTACTGCAACAGCATCCTCTATGGTTCTCCCAACAAAATCCTCAATAAACTCCAATATGTTTAGAACTCTGCCGCTCGACCGCTCACTTCCACCCGCCGCTATGAACACATCACCCCGGTCCTTTACAACCTCCACTGGCTCCCGGTCAAATACAGAATAGACTATCTACTATCTAATAGACTAATAGACTTCAAAATACTACTCACCACCTACAAAGCCCTAAACAACCTGGCCCCTCCTTACCTTTCAGACCTCCTCCCCCTCCACGCCCCAACCCGTTGCCTCAGGTCCGCCGGTGCAAACACTCTGAAGACCATCAGGACCAAGTGCCGGACCTGGGGTGACAGGGCCTTCTCAGCTGCTGCACCTCCCCTCTGGAACGCCCTCCTCATCCACATCCGTGAGGTTCCCTCCCTGTCATCATTCAAACAAGCCCTCAAAACCCACCTCTTCAACCTCGCCTTCACCTGCACCCTACCCTCCCATTCCGCACAGCTTCTCCAGTTATTCTTTTTTTTTACCAAAATGTTCTGATTGTTTGTTTTGTTTGCTCCTCTGTCTTTTTTTGGTTTGTTTGTTTGTTCTGTTTGTCTTTGGGTATTTAGAAAAGCGCTATAGAAAATCGATGTATTATTATTATTAAACTTGTAAATATACATTTGTATACATTTTATATGTATACCACCCATATTGTGTTGATACATTATCCCTATATTTAAACTTTGCACTTTCATTTCTTACATTCCCGTTTGTTACTTGCGTGACTTGAAATTTCAACACCTGAAAATACAATGTGTCAATGAATTACAGAAATCCTATGTGCCCGTGGCAGCCACTGCCTCACAATTAAAGTTACCTGTCTGCTGAGTTCCTCTTCCTGGTCTGACAAAAGGTAGGGCTGAGGGTGGAGCCTGATTTTATACAGCTATCCGAGCCAAGGACAATACCAAGAGGTCTGACAGCATAGAGGGGATCTGGACGGTTTTGTGTTTACCTTGTAGTTCTTGTCTGTGTTGTCCTCCCCTGTATGCTTTTGTTGGTTTGGTCAGCCAGTATATAGGTTTCTCTCAGTTTCATTCTCGAGGTTTGAGCACTGCCAGGCACCAGAAATGGTACAACATGTTATCACTGCCTGTATTAGACACAGCGCAGAAAGGAGGGGCATGCTGGGAGAAATGCAAAGACTAGGGATGAGAGGAAGAGAGTTGAATAATATAATTGAGTGGGGATCTAGTAATCTGGGAAGAAGGTGCTTTACAAACTTTTTGCGAGCAACGGGTCTGATGGGGAAAGTTTAGTAGTTGGGAACATAGGAACTGACCGAAACCGGAAGATGGCAGTAATGCAACAAAAATGATGCAAGCTGCCGTTAAACACAACAGAAGAAGAAGATTCTAGAGGTTTTTGTTAATGGAGTAATCGTCTTGTTTTGTTAACCTTATTCTTTAATAGTTATGTTTTGTTGACTTCTTTTTTAGGAGCCCTATAACTCTGTTAATTCATTTTCTTTGTAGCTGATTGTTATTGCATACTTTTTGGGAAAATAAACCCACTTTTGAATTTAATTAAAGCCTGTTTCCTTGTGCCTTGACTGCTTGGTACACGACATTTGGTCGCAGTGGTGGGATCATCCAGGTGAAGGCACAGGGTTTTGTTTTTTCATCTTTTTGAATCTTTTCCTCCTTTGATCTTCAAGTCATGCAACGATGTGGGAAAATTGGGAAAGGAGCACGAGGTGATGTTCAAAACCGTCCGAATGTATCGGAGGCACGGACTAATGATGAGGAGGGAAATGGAGCCTCTGGAGGGGTGGACAGCACTGAGGACAAAGGTAACAATATTAGACCTGGCTTCCCTTTTTCGGTACCAGGTAGAGCAGCAGGAGGCCAGAGACAGAACAAGTAAAATGCCCGACAAGAACATCGCTTTAGAGCACTCCAACACCAGTTCCGGCTTCTTCAGGAGGAAGTGGAAGTCCGCACCTCTCCAGTCCCTGAGCTTCTGCCAGATGGGCCTGAACCACCTGATCCTGAGCTTCCGGATGTTAACATCCCTCTCCAAGTTGCTCCCAGAAACGAGACTATCAACCGGTCCTATGCCAGTCCTATTTCCTTGTGCCTTGACTGCCTCTCACCTCCATTCACACTGTGTCAAAGTTCCAACAGCCAAATTAAATGAGGGTGTAAACGCACACCTATGGTGTATTTCTGATGAGTCACGTGTGTGTGTGTGTGTGTGTGTGTGTGTGTGTTATAATTATGAGGGCGGTAGACTTAAAACCACCAACTGCTAAACAAACACAAAACCACTGACAGCAAAACCAACAGGGAACTGTTGGTTGACACAACGTTTTGTTGTCCGTCTTCAAAAAAACCCTTTATATAAACTAGTATCAATTTGTAAAGAGGACTTTTTGCAACCTCAAGCATGAAATACCATTTAAACATAGAGTAGTCCTCTCAGACATCTGACTGGACACAATCAAGCTTTTGTGGCAGGCAATTCTGAAACTTTTGTGCATGTAAATAAAAAAACTGATTAAAATAAGCTAAACTGGAATTAAACTCAAACATCAGGTGCCATCTTATATAGCTAGCCAACCTAAATATAATTGAACTGAAATACCAAAACAACAAAGTAAAGAAGCAAAACTATTTTAAATGTATTTAATCTGAGTTGAGTGAAACTGTAAAGAAGTAAAATGAAACAGTACCTCTGTGTGGAGGACAAGGATGACTCGCTGCAGTTTGTTGACAATGACTCTAAAACTCACACTGGAGCAACATTTTACTCTCCAGTACATAAGTCACTTTGACAGAGATTAGACAATCTGCTTTCTTATCAACAAAATTTTTGAAGAAAGCGGAATAATAGTCCAGCATCAAGTCAATGTTTGTTGAATTATTTATTATTCATCAATGGAATAAAAACGTTTCAAATTTGAGATCTTTTTGCATTTGTCAATGCTGAGAATTACTTGCCTGACTTTGCCTGGGCACTACAGAATGTTAATGGAAAGCCTGCATTATATGCAGGGGGCATGGCGTTGGCATGGCGTTTGAAAGATGTCGGTGTTTACCGGGCACAGGTCTAGAGAACAATTCCGTCTTGTTGCATTGTGGGAAGTGTATGTTTGGAGATTGATCCATATTAAGGACTATAATTCAAGGTCTGTACCTGCTGCATCAGTTTTGGCTTTTTCAAATCCGTCTTCGTGCCCCAGCTCTATGGAAGTACAACACCAAATTGCTGAAATTCCCTTTAGATGCAGTCAATTATAACACAAGTTCAAATGTTTGGCCGTCATGCTTAGTTCAAATTTGCACCAATAGTGCCCTGATATCTGCTCTACAGCTCAAAGTAATATGAAAAGTACAATATGTATTTATTATAAAGCTAGAGTGTATCGATTTGAAAAACATAGTTGTTATAGGTGGTAAATTTCACACAGACATCTTATTAAAAGAAAGGTACCGTTACTTAAGGGAATAGATGATGTTCATATTCAGGCATCACATTGATGAAGAAACTTGGTACAAAAACAATGAAGGTGGTGCAGTAAAGCAAATTGTGTGAAGTGAGTCGTCTACTGCTTTTTTAAATGTTTATAAGTAACAAATTATGCAAAATGATTTTATCGCTTTTATACATTAGGAGATATATTGAAAAATAAAACTGTAGCTCCATTTAACCCTATGGAGCTCAAGATTTCAAAATATGATTTTTAACAGCCTCTTACACACCAACCTATGATGTATAATAATTTATTTGTTTTGATCCACTCCACTCAGCCACAGGTGAGTGGAGTGGAGGATACTGGCCTTCTGACTTCCCCGATTTGGAAATGCTCTCTGTAAGAGCCATATGAGACTTAGTAAGATGTTGTGTAACAAATATGTGGAAATGCTCCTTTAGTTGCGTTACTGACTATGTCACAGCCTTAACAGCATTCCAACAATAAAGAGAAACAGGATAACAATAGTTGGAATGCTTAACAGCATTCCAACAATTAAGAACATTAATTTAAACATTAAAAACAGTCATTAAAATACTAAAAGGCAGTGTAAACTCCTGACTGTACGCAGTGACGCTTTGCCCTCCAGTTCCTCTGATGCTGTTTCCTTCACCTCGGAACAATCAGCTTTCATGATTAAATAAGATGATACAACTTTATTGATTGACAAGGAAACATAATTTCATTGACGCACTGAAAGCAATAAGACTCAGCAGGGAACAAATGAAAATGTAATTTAGTTACGCACACGCTATATTAAAAAAATATATATCATAACTAAAGAATACAACAATGAAGCTTTAACATTTATGGTCAATAAACAAGGCTGAAGTTGTACAAACATGAATTACTACTACTGATGAAATAACTCAAATTACTGCTTTGCCTCAAAGGCTGTGTGAGTTGTGTATGAGTGATGCCAGTGACCGTATGAATCCAAAAGGCCTCCCTGTAGGAGGAGGGCTATGGCTGCATGATGACCTGTACAGATCTGTTATCTTCCAGCTCCACCTGGAGGCAGTATGAGTCCGTTTCTGACTTGTTCCTCTATGTTGTTGTCTGCTTCATGCATTTCAATGCTATTATATACTGCTATTATATAGGTACTTTGAAGTATTTTTGGTCCTAATAGTATATTTAAGTTTAAAGGACTTATAAGTAAGTAATATGACAGGTAATATAGGCAGTAAAACAAATTTCATAATAATGCATGCATATAAATATAGGTTCTACACATGCATATATTTATTTATGTTTACATTTATACTTTATACTTTAATTAGAATTATTGATTATGAAAATCTATTTGTTTTACTGACTACTATCGTTAATAGTACTTAACAATGTATTTTATAGTCAATCATATTTATTCACTGTACATTTTGAAATATAAATGGCACATATAGTTCAGTTCTGTCTTTACTGAAATTTGGCTCGCAGAACTGCAAAAACAGACACACTAAAGCAAACTCATTCATCAGCAAAACATGTAAAAAATAAAGAAAAAGAAATAGGACAGAATCAAATAAAAGAATCAGTTTGAAAGAGTAGCTTCCAGGTTGTGAGCTTTATGCTTGCATCGTCAACCACATCTCGATTACAACCTCAAACACGTGACCTGGTTGAGTTATTCGATTATTTGGCGGGAACACATGCAGCAGTTCTCAGAAAAAGCCCAAACACTTCAGGGGAGCTTCTTCCAATTCCCCCTGAGTGTGAGGGGCCTCAGCAGCACAGTGTCCTCAGGATGTGGAGGGTTGGGTAGAGGTGGCAGAATCGGCTGTGTGACAAGGTGGGACAGATCCAGGCTTTTGTCAGGGGGCATCTGAGTAAATGTGCTACATTTCCTTTTTTCCCTCTTGGATTCGGGCATGGCACGGACTTTGCCTGGTCCTCACTGTTTTCTGAAGCCAGAGACGCAGAGCTTGAGCACAGGCTTGGTGTCAAGTCTCCAGTCTCTGGAAAGCTTTTTAAACAACTCGTATAAGTTTTAGAACCCACAAAATCTACAATAAATGATATGATGAGCAGTGAACAGTTTAAAACCATGCTAGTGGCTCTGGTAGGCTGTTCTTGGGCACCGCGCTTGAGCTAAATGCAAACGTCAGCATGCTAACATGCTAACATGCTAACATGCTAACATGCTCACGCTAACATGCTAACATGCTCACAATGACAATGTTATCATGCTCATGTTTAGCAGGTATAATGGTTAACATGTTCACCATATAGTTTAGCAATAATGTAAGCTTTTGCTCTTTAAAACTAAACACAAAGTGCAGCTGAGAGAGGCTGATGGGTCATAAACCAAATAGACGTTCACTCAAAAACACAAGTCATCCTCATGGTGGCGCTGGAG